CAGTGGTTTATTATTATTATTATTATTATTATTTGGGACAGGGTCTCACTACGTCACCCAGGTCAGAGTGCAGTGGTTTATTATTATTATTATTATTATTATTTGGGACAGGGTCTCACTACGTCACCCAGGTCAGAGTGCAGTGGTTTTTTATTATTATTATTATTATTATTTGGGACAGGGTCTCACTACGTCACCCAGGTCAGAGTGCAGTGGTTTTTTATTATTATTATTATTATTATTTGGGACAGGGTCTCACTACGTCACCCAGGTCAGAGTGCAGTGGTTTATTATTATTATTATTATTATTATTTGGGACAGGGTCTCACTACGTCACCCAGGTCAGAGTGCAGTGGTTTATTATTATTATTATTATTATTATTATTTGGGACAGGGTCTCACTACGTCACCCAGGTCAGAGTGCAGTGGTTTATTATTATTATTATTATTTGGGACAGGGTCTCACTATGTCACCCAGGTCAGAGTGCAGTGGTTTATTATTATTATTATTATTATTATTTGGGACAGGGTCTCACTACGTCACCCAGGTCAGAGTGTAGTGGTTTATTATTATTATTATTATTATTATTTGGGACAGGGTCTCACTACGTCACCCAGGTCAGAGTGCAGTGGTTTATTATTATTATTATTATTATTATTTGGGACAGGGTCTCACTACGTCACCCAGGTCAGAGTGCAGTGGTTTATTATTATTATTATTATTATTATTTGGGACAGGGTCTCACTACGTCACCCAGGTCAGAGTGCAGTGGTTTATTATTATTATTATTATTATTATTTGGGACAGGGTCTCACTACGTCACCCAGGTCAGAGTGCAGTGGTTTATTATTATTATTATTATTTGGGACAGGGTCTCACTACGTCACCCAGGTCAGAGTGCAGTGGTTTATTATTATTATTATTATTATTTGGGACAGGGTCTCACTACGTCACCCAGGTCAGAGTGCAGTGGTTTATTATTATTATTATTATTATTATTTGGGACAGGGTCTCACTACGTCACCCAGGTCAGAGTGCAGTGGTTTATTATTATTATTATTATTATTATTTGGGACAGGGTCTCACTACGTCACCCAGGTCAGAGTGCAGTGGTTTTTTATTATTATTATTATTATTATTTGGGACAGGGTCTCACTACGTCACCCAGGTCAGAGTGCAGTGGTTTTTTATTATTATTATTATTATTATTTGGGACAGGGTCTCACTACGTCACCCAGGTCAGAGTGCAGTGGTTTATTATTATTATTATTATTATTATTTGGGACAGGGTCTCACTACGTCACCCAGGTCAGAGTGCAGTGGTTTATTATTATTATTATTATTATTATTTGGGACAGGGTCTCACTACGTCACCCAGGTCAGAGTGCAGTGGTTTATTATTATTATTATTATTATTATTTGGGACAGGGTCTCACTACGTCACCCAGGTCAGAGTGCAGTGGTTTATTATCATTATTATTATTATTATTATTTGGGACAGGGTCTCACTACGTCACCCAGGTCAGAGTGCAGTGGTTTATTATTATTATTATTATTATTATTATTTGGGACGGTCTCACTACGTCACCCAGGTCAGAGTGCAGTGGTTTTTTATTATTATTATTATTATTTGGGACAGGGTCTCACTACGTCACCCAGGTCAGAGTGCAGTGGTTTATTATTATTATTATTATTATTATTTGGGACGGTCTCACTACGTCACCCAGGTCAGAGTGCAGTGGTTTATTATTATTATTATTATTATTATTTGGGACGGTCTCACTACGTCACCCAGGTCAGAGTGCAGTGGTTTTTTATTATTATTATTATTATTTGGGACAGGGTCTCACTACGTCACCCAGGTCAGAGTGCAGTGGTTTATTATTATTATTATTATTATTATTATTTGGGACGGTCTCACTACGTCACCCAGGTCAGAGTGCAGTGGCACGAACACAGCTCACTGGATCCTCAACCCCCACATACATCAGGCTCAAGCAATCCTCCTGCCTCAGCCTCTGAAGTAACTGTGCCTACAGGCACATGCCATCACACCTGGCTAATTTTTAAATGACTGGTCTCTAATTCACCCACGTCAGTCCCCCAAAGTGTTGAGATTACAGGTCTGAGCCACTGGGCCCGGCGCGCCCCTCATTTTTTAAACAGTTATTTTTCCTAGGATAAATCTTCAACAATGTCTTTACTAGGTCAAGGCCACACGAAAGGCTTTATGGCTTCTGAAACCTATCACTTTTACTAACAGCAGAGAACTCTTGTCTCCTGTGTGCTGGGCACTTTGTAAGTGCAGTTTCATTCCCAAGAGTTTGCAGATGCTGCCCTCATGGACGTGAAGAAACCATGTTTTTAAGCAACTTGCCTAGGTCCCACAGGCAGTAACTGGCAGACTGGAGGTTTCAACCTGGCAGAGGGACTCAAGCCCACATGTTCACCCCGTGCCAAAACTACTGAGCTGGTTTTAAAAGGGTTATGCCAGTGTGCATGACCGCTGACTCTATGTGCCACTTTTTTTTTTGAGATGCAGTCTCTGTTGCCCAGGCTGGAGTGCAGTGGTGCGATCTCGGCTCACTGCGACCTCTTGCAACCTCTGTCTCCTCGGTTCGAGTGATTCTCCTGTCTCCGCCTCTTAAGTAGCTGGGATTACAGGTGCACACCACCACACCTGGCTAATTTTTGTATTTAAAATTTTTTTTTTTTGAGATGGAGTCTCACTCTGTCGCCCAGGCTGGAGTGCAGTGGCTTGATCTCAGCTCACTGCAACGGGTTCAAACAATTCTGCCTCAGCCTCCGGAGTAGCTGGGACTACAGGCGTGCGCCACCAGGCCCAGCTAATTTTTTGTATTTTTAGTAAAGATGGGGTATCAACATGCTGGCCAGGCTGGTCTCGAGCTCCTGACCTCTTGATCCACCTACGTCAGCCTCCCAAAGTGCTGGGATTACAGGTGTGCGCCACTGTGCCTGGCCCTATATTTTTAATAGAGACAGGGTTTCACCATGTTGGTCAGGCTGGTCTCAAACTTCTGACCTCGGGTGATCCACCCACTCCACCTCCCAAAGTGCTGGGATTGCAGGCATGAGCCACTGTGCCCAGCCTCTTATGTGCCACTTTTAAATCACATCCTCACCAGTGGTGAATGCAGTTTTACTGACATTTTTACTTCAGGAGCGCAAATACAGAAAACCTGAAGATACCAGGAGTGGTGTTTGGCCTCATCAGCCTCCATGGTCCGATTGGGCCCTCATCCTGTCACTCACCAAGCCTCTTCTTTCGTCACTGTGTGACCCTTTCCCAGACCCAGAGAAGAGGAAACTTCCCAACTGACCTCCGTGGATCATAAGAGCAGTGTGCTGGAGGCAGGGGCACCAGGACTGGGCTCTGCAGCTCCCGCCGTGGGGCCTCTTCCTCCCTCTTCTCCCTGCCTGAGTCAAGCCCCTGGGAGGTGTCCCTGCACTCTGCAGCCACAGTACACGAGCTTGGTAGGAGAAGGGGGAATGGAGAGTCAGAGATCCCAGAACACGAACGAGGGCTGGTTATTCCAGTGGGCGGCTCTCCATCCTCACAGTGGTGATGAGAGGCCTGTGGTTTAGGGTCTGTGCCCATATCACTGCTGGGAAAACTGAGTACAGTAGCTCACCCGCGGCCACTCAGCAAGTCTGTGTCTGAGATTCCATCTCAGGGCCCTCGACTCCCTCTACCTCACACAGCCCTGTGAGCTGGGACCTGCGGTGGTGGCCCCATTTGGCTTCAGGCCACAGTGTCTGGCAGGCCGTGGTGCCAGCATCTCTCCCACTGTCTGCAGGTTTTTTGGAACCAAGTGGATGATGTTCTTGGCCGTGGGCATCTACGCCCTCTTTGTCTCCACCAACTACTGGGAGCGCTACTACACGCTTGTGCCCTCGGCTGTGGCCCTGGGCATGGCCATCGTGCCTCTTTGGGCTTCCATGGGCAACTACATCACCAGGTGAGCCTGGTGGGCAGTGGAGCAGGAGGCTGGAGACCTGGCCAAGCATCCACTTTATTGCTGACTTTGGGGGACCACGGGCAAGCCCCTTTTGCCCTCTGGGCCTCAGTTTTCCTGTCTGTGAGACACTGGGGCTGGTCTGCCCCTAGCTCTGGGTGCAGGACACTCAGGAGTGGCACAGGTCGGGCTGGGGAGAGCCTTCTCTCCTTTGTGGTCCAGGATGGCACAGAAGTACCACGAGTACTCCCACTACAAGGAGCAGGATGGGCAGGAGCCGAAGCAGCGCCCTCCGCGGGGCTCCCACGCACCCTATCTCCTGGTCTTTCAAGCCATCTTCTACAGTTTCTTCCATGTGAGTGCCATGTGGGCATTGTCGGGTGGCAGGGGCAGGCCCACACATTGGAGCCATCCCACACTCTCAACCCTCTAGTCCCACTTTCCTTTCTTTTATTATTATTATTATTATTTTGAGATAGAGTTAAGCACTGGAGGGCAATGGCGGGATATCGGCTCACTACAACCTCTGCCTCTCGGGTTCAAGCGATTCTCCTGCCTCAGCCTCCTGAGTAGCTGGGATAACAGGCATGAACCACCACGCCCAGCTAATTTTGTATTTTTAGTAGAGACGGGGTTTCTCCATGTTGGTCAGGCTGTTCTCAAACTCCCGACCTCAGGTGATCCACCTGCCTCTGCCTCCCAAAGTGCTGGGATTACAGGCATGAGCCACCGCGCTGGGCTATTATTATTTTTAAGAGACTTGTTCTCACTATGTTGCCCAGCTGGCTTTGAACTCCTGGGCTCCAGTGATCCTCCCACCTTGGCCTCCCAAGTAGCTGGGACTACATGCGCACACCCCTGTATTTGCCCTTCATTTCTTTTTCTTTTTTTGGGCGGAGGGGTGGACAGGGTCTTGCTCTGTTGCCCAGGCTGGAGCGCAGTCATGGCTCACTGCAACCTTGAACTCAGTTCAAGTGATCCTCCTACCTCAGCCTTCTCAGTAGCTGGCATCACACGCGTATGCTATCACACCCGGCTAATTTTTTATTTTTGTAGAGATGGGGTCTTGCTATGCTGCCCAGGCTGCCCATCTTCCTTTCTTGAGCCCATTCCAGCTTGCTCATCCACGGAGACGAGACTTCATCCGTCCCCGTCCACACTGCAAGCCAGGAGGAGATCTTCCTCACTGGGCAGCCCTGTAACCAGGCTATTCCCAGAACTGGGAAGGCCCCTGCTCCCCTAAGGCTGCCCCTAGACCCCTCCCCAGACCATGCCTGTGTCCCCTGCCTGGCTCTGTGCCTGAGTCTGGTCTCAACTGCCCTTGTGTCCGCAGCTGAGCTTCGCCTGCGCCCAGCTGCCAATGATTTATTTCCTGAACCATTACCTATATGACCTGAACCACACACTGTACAACGTGCAGAGCTGCGGTTAGTACTTGTGGGGGTTGGGGAGGAGTCCTCAAAGCCTGCTTACTTCCCCAGCAGACACTGGGCCCTCACTCACAGGATCTGGGGCTAGCCCAGCGCCCCACGGCTCTGGTGGGCAAGGTACAGGGCCCTGTAGGAGTCCGTTGTTAGGACATCTGACCCAGCCATGATAGCGGATGAGCAGGGAAGACTGCCTGGAGGAGGCGCCATCTGGGTTGAGGGTGCCAGTGAGATACCTCCTGGGGCCAAGCTAACAGTCAGCTCAGTCAGTGAAGGGGGTGTGTATGGAAATGTGAGGTCAACTGAGCCTTGTGGCAATAGGGTGGGAAGCAGGGGAAAGATGCCCGTCTGCTGTGGCACACCCAGCCCCAGTGGCCCTAACCTCCAAACTGCCCTGGAAGGAGCCCTGCCCTTGCTGGCACTCTCCTCCCCCTCCACTGCGCCTCCACAGCCCACTGGGCTGCATTTTCTGGTGGCTGGATTGACAGTGTGCCCTACTCCCTCCTCACGGTGCCCCCACCAACACTTTTCCCAGGCACTAACAGCCACGGCATCCTCAGCGGCTTCAACAAAACGGTTCTGCGGACGCTCCCGCGGAGTGGAAACCTCATTGTGGTGGAGAGCGTGCTCATGGCGGTGGCCTTCCTGGCCATGCTGCTGGTGCGGCCTGGGATGGGGGCAGGACAGAGTCAGTGAACTAGAACCTGGGGGTCTGGGGACGGAGTGCGCGAGAAAGCGTCTGGACCCGATGGCGTGGCCGGGTTGGGTTGTGGCCTCGAGGCGGGCGGTAGGCCTAGGGGATCGATCTGAGTTGGGGAGCTAGGGCTGAGTCCTGCGGAGGGCCATGAGGCTCGGAGGTGGGGCTGAGGCTTGTGGTCCGAGGCAGGGGTGGGAATCCAGAGGCCAGCAGGAGGAGGGAACAGGCTTGGTCCACAGTTTCGAGCTGGAGACAAGATCTTAGAGGACTGACTGAGACTTGTGAGGGGGTTGGGGAAGGGACCCAGGGTCCAGGGCTGGAAGATGTGGCTCAAACCTGGGGCGGTACCGGAAGGCAGACCTAAGGCGTTGGGGGCATGGCTGCAGCCTGGCGACGGGAGACGAGGCCAAATCTGTGGCTGTGTCAGGGCGGGGCCTAGCGCTGGGAGGCGGGGCTGAGGTCTGTGGGTGTGTCCGAGGGGCGGGGGCTAGCCTGGAAGGCGGGGCTGAGAAACTGGGCTGAAGTCTATGGGTTTGTCTGATTGTGAGATGTGAAGTTGTGTGTATGTGAGGCAGAGGGGATGGGGCCTTGGGCTGGGAGGCAAGACCACAGTCTTTGGGAGTGCAGAGGCGTGGCTTTGTGGTGAGAGGCGGGACCTTGAGCTGGGCTGAGGCCAGGCCAGGGCCTATGGGTGTGTCTGGGGAGCGGGGCCCTGGGCTGGGGGACGGGGCCTTGGGCTGGACCCAGGCAAATCCAAGGGCTGTGGGTGTGTCTGAGGGGCGGGGCCGAGGGCTAGAAGACGGGGCGGAGCGCTGGGGCAAGGCCCAGGTTTGTGGTGCTTCTGAAGGGCCTGGAGGCCAGGCCTGTGTCTGGGCCTGGCTCTGGGCCTGGCTGGCTGCCCCTTCAAGTCAAGGATTCACAGGTGCTGGGTTTGTGCGGCGCAGCTTACCGGCCCACGGAGGAGATCGATCTGCGCAGCGTGGGCTGGGGCAACATCTTCCAGCTGCCCTTCAAGCACGTGCGTGACTACCGCCTGCGCCATCTCGTGCCTTTCTTTATCTACAGCGGCTTCGAGGTGCTCTTTGCCTGCACTGGCATCGCCTTGGTAAGTACTGCAGGGATTGCCCGATAAAAGACAAGATAGCCAGGTAAATTTGAACTCAAGTAAACAACGAGTAATTTTTCATTACGTGTCTAAGTGTGTATACATATGTCCCAAATATCCCCCTCCTGCTCTCTCTTCTCTCTCTTGCCCCCATCCCCCCTTTACCTTGGGTAAGTTTTTTATTTTCTCTGAATTGAAATGGGATGGCAAACACAAGGTACAGCCCGTGGCGACACCCCAAGCATTTTCTCACCGTGACCTCAGAACCTTACCCTGAGCCTTGGAGGGAGGTCGGGCAGTTGAGGGAGGGCAGGGCGTGGCCTAAGGAACATCTCTTATGGGGAGGGCTGAGGCTGGGGCCTGGGCTGTCTGGCATCCAACACTCACCCCCTGTCTCCCCAGGGCTATGGAGTGTGCTCTGTGGGGCTGGAGCGGCTGGCTTACCTCCTCGTGGCTTACGGCCTGGGTGCCTCAGCGGCCTCCTTCCTGGGCCTGCTGGGGCTGTGGCTGCCACGCCCGGTGCCCCTGGTGGCTGGGGCAGGAGTGCACCTGCTGCTCACCTTCGTCCTCTTTTTCTGGGCCCCCATGCCTCGGGCCCTGCAGCACAGCTGGATACTCTATGTGGCAGCTGCCCTTTGGGGTGTGGGCAGTGCCCTGAACAAGACTGGACTTAGCAGTGAGTATACCTTCGGGCCCTGGGGAGGCGGGGCAGGGGGTTTTATGGCTATCTCTAGGTGGATGGCTGGACATAGACATCTTAGGGACAGATATGGGGTCCCGTGGTCACATAGTGTCCTGTGGGCATGGCAGAGGGAGTTGGGGCTTCCTGTGTTCACTCTGGGGGTGGAAGAGAAATCGCATGGACACAGTGGGGACAGATGGGTAGCTTTTTGGGCACCCTGGAGATAGGCATGGGAGTTCCATACCATGGGCATTTTGTTAGTACCCCAGGGTGGGCACAAGTCCCCGTCAACACTGGAAGGTCAGTGTGGAATCTTGTGCCTGCACAAGATAGGTGTGAGGTTCTGTGGACACCCCTTAGGGACAGTGTGAAAACACATCAGGATTCTTCTTTTCACACCACGGGAGAGGCTTACCTTGCCATAATTTTCATGACACTGGGAGCATGGGCAGGAGCAAGTGGCCTTGTGTACACCCAGGGCATAGATACAGACATGGGCCTTTGTATAGAGAGGAGCTGGCATGCAGCCCCAACCCAGCCTGCTCAGCACCAGAGTCCAGGCCCCAGGTCTGCGCTGCTGGGGAACAGGGCCTTGTCTGCAGAAGGCAGTGGGTAGGCCCAAGTTCAGTTCTAGGTTGCTCCCTGCCCACAAGTGAGCACACACAGTGAGTGACACATGGCTAGCACACACAGGCACGGCCCTGCCAAGCATCCATGTCAGCGTCTGTTCTGATGGGCTGAAGCTGTGAACATTTTTTTCTTTTTGAGATGGAGTCTCACTCTGTTGCCCAGTCTGGAGTGCAGTGGTACAATCTTGGCTCACTGCAACCTCTGCCTCTTGGGTTCAAGCGATTCTCCTGGCTCAGCCTCCTGAGTAGCTGGGACTACAGGCACATGCCACCACGCTCAGCTAATTTTTATATTTTCTAGTAGCAATGGGGTTTCACTATATTGGCCAGGCTGGTCTCGAACTCCTGACCTCATGATCCGCCTGCCTTGGCCTCCCAAAGTGCTGTGAGTACAGGCACGAGCCATCACGCCCAGCCTGTAAACGGTTTTGAACCGTTGGGGGTGTGGAATGGCAGAGGTCAGGCTGTTGGCAGGGCAGGGGCTGGCTGGCCTCTCTGTTTGTAGTAGGGACTGGAGTCCCACACTGTGCCATAGTCTCTTGGCCATTTTGTGCAAGGATAGGCAGCTCTGGGCAGAGTCCAGCCTGGGTAGCTTGGACCCATGTTGTGCCGTCTAGGGTCTGGTCCTGGCGTCCCCTCTGCCCAGCTCCACATCTTGTCTCTTCCTCGTGAACCCCAGGGGCTCCTTGTCCCTTCACAGCAGCCCTGTGGGTTGAAATCACCCTGCAGGGCTCCAAGACAGGAGCGTGGATGTCCGGGGTGCCTGGCGATGTGTTAACAGTGGCTCCTATGACGTGGCAGGTGCCGAGCAGACTTTCTCACTTTAGAATTCCTAACAACATACAACAGGCACAAGCTCATCTCACCATTGGGAAAAGTGACCCTGGGGAGTTAAGTACCCAAATCACCCGCAGGGCTGACATCTGTATCCGTCTCTCTGTACCTCTTAACCTCCAACGCACTCCACCTTACAGTCCTGAGAACGAGTGTGCATCTCCTGACTCCCAGTCCGGTGCTCTTTTCGCCCACCCTTGGGAGGACTCGTTGGGAAGGAAGCCCCCCTCCCCATGCTTAGCTTCCTTCAGGTTTGATTGGCAGAGTTTGGCAGCTGCAAACAGTTTGATCTCTTTAGCCCCGGCTGAGGAGGAGACATAGCGCCTGCATGCTTGGCACTGCACACCTGGGGCTGGGGACAGGACATGACCGAGTACAGAGCTTTCTTCTTTGGAGGCCACACATGTGTCGCAGAGTGGGACCACCTGCATCCACCCAGCCTGGAGCACCTCCTCTTTGCTTAGCGTCTGAGTGGTGTGGAGACCAGGGTCTCCACCAGGGGGCAGGCCAGGACAGCTCAGCGCTTTCTAGGCGCTCTCCAGTCCTGAGCTGGGACCCACACGGGACTTAGTCAAGCTCGTAGGTGGGAGCACCGCAACCCCAGGCCCCAGGTGACACCTCTCCCCTGCCTGCCCCTTACTGCCTGCCCGCAGCACTCCTGGGCATCCTGTACGAAGACAAGGAGAGACAGGACTTCATCTTCACCATCTACCACTGGTGGCAGGCTGTGGCCATCTTCACCGTGTACCTGGGCTCCAGCCTGCCAATGAAGGTGAGGCTGGGCGGGGTTGGAGTCCCCATGCCCAGTGACAGGTACTTCCTTAGTCCCTGTCCTGGCTTCACAGCTTCCTAAAGGCCACAACTTCCCAAGGTAGTCTCTGAGCCAAGGCCCCATCCTGCAGCCCACTGGGTGACCCTCGACTCAGCACAGTCTGTTTGCCCATCTCTGAGGAGATTCTGTGGGGCGCATCACAGCCATTCTGTGGGCTGCTTGGTACCCTGTTCCCCAGATGTTGGGTCTGTCTCCCTTCATGGCCTGAAGGGGAGCAGGCCCCTCATGCTCTGCTCCCGAAAGATGGTGGCTCAGTCTAGCAAGTCCCAGTTGCTAAACATTTTTTAAAAATCAAATTAAAAATAGCAAGGAGTGGACTGAGCGCAGTGGCTCACGCCTGTAATCCCAGCACTTTGGGAAGCCCAGACGGGAGGATCACTTCAGGTCCAGAGTTCGAGACCATCGTGGGTAACATGGTGAAACCCTGTGTCTACTAAAAACACAAAAATTAGCTGGGCATGGTGGTGCGTGCCTGTAATCCCAGCTACTCCGGAGGCTGAGACACGAGAATCACTTGAACTTGGGAGATGGAGGTTGCAGTGAGTCAAGATTGCACCACTGCACTTCAGCCGGAAGGACAGAGCGAGACTGACTCAAAAAAACAAAACAAAACAAAAAACAGTAAGTGGGCTGGGCGCGGTGGCTCATGCCTGTAATCCCAGCACTTTGGGAGGCTGAGGCAGGCGGATCACGAGGTCAGGAGATCGAGACTATCCTGGCCAACATAGTGAAACCCTGTCTCTACTAAAGATACAAAAATTAGCCGGGCATGGTGGCGCACGCCTGTAGTCCCAACTACTCCGGAGGCAGAGGTTGCAGTGAGCTGAGATTGTGCCACTGCACTCCAGCCTGGGTGAAAGAGCAAGACTCTATCTCAAACAAAACAAAACCCCACAAATTTGTGTGTATGCACTGAGCTGTTATGTCAATCATTTCTGACTGGGCTATAGTCAAGACCCCATGAAAAGCATCACTACAGCCCACGGGTGTGTCAGCGACACAGAGTGTTCTGAGCCTGGTAAGGCAGGGCCTGTAGCCAGCACTTTATCCACACCGGCACATCCACCCCATGAGGCAAAGGGATTGGCATTCTCCCCTTACTGCGTGGGACACTGAGGTCCCCAGGGCCATGGCGACTGTAAGGGACAGTGCTGGGATGTGAGCCTCCCCTGCAGGAGGCAGCCCTGGAAGCGTGGGTGGAGGGACTGGAGAAGTTGAGGCTCCTGGAGGAGGGAGAGGCCTGGCCCAGCAAGGGGCCTAGGTGGGAAAGGCGTGGGGCAGGTGGCCGCGGGTCCCTGACATCCTTCTCCTTGCGCCCAGGCTAAGCTGGCGGTGCTGCTGGTGACGCTAGTGGCGTCCGCGGTCTCCTACCTGCGGATGGAGCAGAAGCTGCG